CAACCATTTGATGTGTCCCTTTCACGTCGATGTTTCTCTCTCTCCCTCCCACTCTATCTGAACAAAATATGGAAAAATGTCCTCGGGTAGGGATTAAAAAAAAAAAAGTATCAGGAGGGCAGGTTGCAGTTCTAAATAGGCTGTTCATGAGGCCTGTGAGGTGAAATAGAGCAAATCCTTGAAGAAGTGCAAGTTTTGGCCCCTGGATTTCCAGAAAAGCATCTCTGGCAGAGGACAGGTAGAGTGACTCTGTAGCAGGTGTACTTGGCACACAGGAGTCAGTGTGGCTGCAGCGGCATGCAAGAGCCAGAGGTGCTGCGGAGCTGAACAGAGAAGTACAGCAGGGTCTGGATTGGGAAGGGCCCTTTAGGTCATCTGAAGAAACTGGTTTCTACTCTTGACGAAAATGGAAGTCATTACAAGGTTATGAGCAGAGAAGTCACCTGACCTGGCCTACATTTTAAAAGGATGACTTTGGGTGCTATGCTGAGAAGACTGAGGGGCCTGGAGTAGGGCAGAGTGGCAGAAGGAGGGAGACCAGTTAGGAGGTGACAGTGACTTGGACCAGGTGATAGTAGTGGGGTGGTGACAGGACTGACTTCTGGATATGTTTGGAAAAAAAAAAAAAAAAAAAAGCCAGTGGTTTGGTTAATGAATTGGATGTCAGATATAACAAATTAAGGATACTGCAAGGTTTCTAAACTGAGCAACTAGAAAGATGAGTTGCCATCAACTGAGACCTTAAAACACATCCTAAATCTGCCCACTTCTCTCCATCTCTACCCAAGAACGAGCCACCATCTTTCCCATGGACTATAGGTAGGAGTGGCCTAGCTGGTCTCCCTGCTGTGATTCTCATTCTTGAGTTTATCCTTCAGTCAGTGTAAGTTTTATTTATTTATTTTTGTTTTGTTTTTAATTGACTTTAGAGAGAGAGGGAGATGGAAAGAGACAGAGAGAAATATCAATTGGCTGCCTCCCATACGTACCCTGATGAGGGATTAAATCCAAAACCTGGGTATGTGCCCTCATTGGGAATTGAACCTGTGACCTTTTGGTGTACGGAATGTTGCTTCTACTAACTGAGCCACACCAGTCAGGGGCAGTGTTTTAAAATGTAAATTACTTGCTCAGTTCACTCACAATAAAAGCCAAATGCTTTGCTTTGGCTTACAAGGCTCTGTATGATCTGGCCCCTGTTAAACTTCCTGATCTCATCTCCCAGTCTAGCCACACTGGTCTTCTATTTTTACTTCAAACACTGAGACTCATTTCTGCCTCAGGGCCTTTGCCCTTGCTGTTTCCTATGCCTGGAATACATGTCCCCCAGATATTCATATGGTTGCCTTCTTATTTAGTTTTGGGCTCTATTCCTCTATTTGCATGTTACCTCCTCAAAGAAGCCCCATGTGTTGTAGTATTGACCTGTCACTCTTCAGCCTCTTCCTTCACTTTATTTTTCTTCAAGCATGTATTACTTAGGATTATATTACACGTTCCATTATTGTCGATCATCCTTAATAGACTGTAAGCAACGGAAGGGTTTTATCTTTTTCACTGATACACCCACCAGCTCCTAAAACAGTGCCAGGCTCAGAGAAGGCACTATGGTATTCATTGAATAAAGGTGAGGCATAAACATAACAATACATATAAAGGACTTAGCATGGTGCCTGGCACAGAGCAAGCAACCAGAAGATGCTGTACTTTGGGCTCCCTCCCTGCCTCTCTGGCCATCCTTCCTGTTTCCTTGTCTGGCCCAGCCTCATCTGTCCTGACTTGGCCACTAATCTCAGCTTTCCTCAAGGCTGAGTTCTGGGCCTCTCTTCTTTTAACCTGACATTCTCCTCCTAGGTGACTCCAGCCAGGTTTTTATTGTCCATTATGTCTCAAGCAACCCCCAACTGTTCTTCTCTGTGTAACACCCCATTTAATCACAATCTGTAATCATTATTTATTTTTGAGAAAAACAGGCCCTGACAACTGGGAAATGACCTGACACTCACAGCCAGGCCGTGGTGCTCACATTCATTGTAAAACTCGCAGAACACCAACAGCAGACGAGGTCATTCTGTGATAGTGGTGTAAACAAAGTTTGTAACTTTGTCTGAGCACAAACAGAAACAGTCACTTTGTAAGCCATAAATGCCGAAAAATGCTGAACAGTATTGGCTAAACTACTGGCTACATGAGTGACAGCTATTTCTTTTTATTTTTTACCAAGTAACAGCTTTAGCCACGTTTTATTCCTCCTTCCAAGATGAGATTTATTAAGATGTGCAATCGCAGAATTGCCCCTACTTCCCAACAGCTCCCAATTCAGAACAAATCCTCGCTTCCTCGACTCTTTCCCCATCACTTAACACAGACCCTACATCCGTCATTCCTGACCCTCTTATGAGATCACTTTAGTTAAACCCAGCTTTGACTATAGGAGGTTTCTGGTGGTCTTGGCTAGAAAGGCATTGCCAATTTTACTATCTTCCTTTCTACTGTATCCCAAAATTTTAGCGGGAAGTGGCTGACAGAGGGTGTCTGTCCTAGCTTTTTTCACAGCTGGAAGCCCAACACCATGCTCAGCACTCGGCTGCCTAAAGTCCCCACCACTGGACTGTCACAGCCCACAGCATATAAATTAAGGAGCTATATGTCAGCTTGGGGAATTTCCTCCAAGGCAGCTGGCATGCTCCGCCCTTACTCCATCCTGAGGCTTGGAGCATGCATTAGCAAACGCGATTTGCTCTGGACTGAACAGGAGGGTCTGACCCCAGGAACTGAAGAGCTGAAATCTGGGGGGAGGTAATAACCAGGGATCTTGTGGTGGCATGATTGTCATACATCTTTTTGACTGTCTAATTCTTGACTTCTGAGAAACAAAATTCTATCTTGCTTTAAGGCTAATGTTGGTTTCCGTTACAACTGAACTTAAAGCTGATAAACTGGGCCATAGTAGGTGTTTAATATTTACAGAGTAAATAAATGTATCCATGCTCATGGCTTCAACCACTACCTATATGTAGAAAACTCAGATCTATGCTTCGTTTTACTCTGAATACCAAACCTGTATATTCGACTATCTACTTGGTACCTCTCCTTGGATGTCTTTAAAAAGGCAGCTCAGCCCTGGCTGGTTTGGCTCAGCGGTTAGAGCGTCAACCTGTAGTCCAGAGAGACCTGGGTTCGGTTCCCGCTAAGGGCATGTACCTTGGTTTCAGTTTGTCCCTGGCCCTGGTTGGGTTGTGCGGGTGGCAGCCACTCGATGTGTCTGTTTCATGTCGACGTTTCTCTCTCTCTCTCCCTCCCACTCTATCTAAACAGAAAATGGAAAAATGTCCTCAGGTGAGGATTAAAAAAAAAAAAGGCAGCTCAGACACAACCATTTCAAAAGGAAGTTAGTTTTTTCTCAATACCTTTCTTTTTAAAATGGCACTTAGGTATGTGAGCCAGAACTACAAGAACCCTAAAATACTTTTCATTCTGACCTCGTTTCCAGAACCCACTCTCCTCCGACTCCACTATACACGGCGACGCGACCACTGCAAACCACTGGATTACTGAAGGAACTTTCCAACCTAACCCCCAAGCTTGGACAGGTCTCCACGTTGAGTTCTTTTTAAAAAACCAATACAATCTGTGAACCTGCCTGAAACTCTTCTAAGGCTTCTTTCTTAAGAAGACCCTAACCCTTGTTCTGCAAGGCCCTGTGGCCCAGCTGCTTTCTTCTGCCTCCCCTCCTACTCCGCCTGGACTCCTCCCCCACAGCACCGCAGGCTTGTCCTTCAAGCTTGCCTGTTGTCATCTTCTGAGGTTCCCCTCAACGCATACTACCCCTTTCTTCACGCCTCCCCTTTACAGCACTACGGACAGGTCTAACTTGACACATATTTGTCATTTTTTGATGAACACGGCTCCCCCTGTGCATTTTCAATTCACTGGTTTAGGCTCTCAGTCACCTCTAGTGCCTAGAATATTACCTGGCCCACAGGCACTCGACATTTATTGAAAGACGGCTCTGTCATTACCACTCCACAAACACCAAACCTACACACAGAGAAATGTTTAAAAATTACTCCATGACTCGGCTGGTGTGGCTCAGTGGTTGTGTTGACCCATGCACCAAGAGGTCACTGGTTCGATTCCCGGTCAGGGAACATGCCCAGGTTGTGGGCCCGATTCCCAGTGGGGGTCATGCAGGAGGCCAACTGATGTTCTTTCTCATTGATGTTTCTCTCTTCCTCTCCCTTCAAGATTAATAAAGAAAAAAAGAGCCCTGGCTGGTTTGGGTCAGTGGTTAGAGCATAGCCTGCGGTCCAGAGAGACCTGGGTTCGGTTTCTGATAAGGGCATGTACCTCGGTTGCAGTTTGTCCCCGGTCCTGGTTGGATCATGCGGATGGCAACCCCTCGATGTAACCCTTTCACGTCGATGTTTCTCTCTCTCTCCCTCCCACTCTATCTGACCAAAATATGGAAAAATGTCCTCGAGTGAGGATTTAAAAAAAAAAGAAAAAAAAAAGAAGTAAACATTTAAAGAAAATAAATAAGTAAATTCCTCCATGCCCGGCCAGTGTGGTTGAGCATCGACCCATACACCAAGAAGTTGCTGGTTCGATTCCCGGTGAGGGCACATGCCCAGGTTGTGAGCCCAATCCCCAGTGAGGTGCATGCAGGAGGTGGCCAATCGATGTTCCCTCTCATTGGTGTTTCTCTCTTCCTCTAAAATCAATAAAGAAAATAATAATAATGATAATAAAAATTACTCCATGGATACCTGGTTTTGCTTTTTGCCCACAAAAGTTCACCCCTGAACATAATGCAGCCTGGTCCGGTTCATGGGACCTTACTGTCCCTTCAGCCCGGGAGAAGCCCAAGCCTCGGCCCTCTCCGTCACCACTGCGTATGAACTGGTGAGGAACACAGGACTCCAAGAACAGCTTCATCTGCCCTCCAGAGATGACTGGAACACGGGGAGTAAAGAAAATGCTTGTTTCCACTGCATTTATTACTAATATAAAAAATGTTAAAAAGAAGAAAAATTCATTTTCAGTTCTCCAACAGCTCTTGTCCCTCCCTCTTGCCCACACAACTCCTGACCCATTTCCTCAGGGCCAGTTCAGGGCTGAGCCTGCTCACTGCCGTTTTCACAGAAAACAACCAGGGACGGAGGTCGGGAGAGGACGACGGACTGTCCAGGTTCCACCCAAAGACAGGCCAGGTGGAGAGCCACAGAATTCAAACGAGAGGGCTGGTGGCCTCACAATGACGCAGTCTAACCAAAATGGGCTGCAGAGGAAAGAGGGCAGGCCCACCAGAGGCCTCAGAGCACATTCCAGGGACCTGTGTCAAACCTGGGATGTGACACCAGAAGGGAGGGGCGGCCAGGGAGGCAGTTTTGTGGAAAGTTTCACAATTCTCCGTGTTGGGAAATGGGGAAAGCCTAGAGGGCACCAAGAGCCTCACTCATTTTGGCAGAAATACCCTAGTGTGGGGGAGCCACAGAATGCCACGGACACTGAGAAAGGCCACAGGGGACGCACGCTCACAAAGCACAGTGATCACAGACCATGGCAGTGGGCCAGGCTACTGACAGCGACACTACAAAATCCAAAAGCAGGGAGACTGGCCTTTCAGGAAGGAAGTCTGTAGAGTCATCCAAACCTGACCCAGGTCAGACAACCTGGTGAGTCTCCCAGAGCAGCTGCCAACATCGGGGGTCAGGGTTATCACAGAGAAGACTTAGAACAAGCAGCCAGAGGGAACGGTGGGAGCTGCTCCAGGGCTCAGGATTCGAGGCAATACTGGGTGTCGGTGGACAGGTGCACAAGAAACAGCACCAAGTAAGTTTCCTGCTTAGCAACTGGCCAGGGGGTGAGGATCCAGGAGGCAGTGAGAGAGCAAAGATGGGCTCCTGAAGGCCAGTCTCTGGAGGCTGAATTAGCAGAAAGAGTGGACAGTGCGCACCAGGATGAAACACAACTCTGGACCTCAAATGGGGGAGGTGGTGGACAGGGGTGGTGGAGCAGCCCCACAGCAGCTGCCAGAGGGCCGCAGGGAACACAGCCGCCAGGCCACAGAGGGCGCCTCCCGCCCGGACAGGAAGGCATGGTCTCACAGGGGCGGTCCGTTGACGCCCGGGTGGTAGAAGGCACAGAGGTCCTCATATCGACAGTGGCCCTTTTTGGCAAAGTGTCGGCAGACAGGGCGGTCAGATTTGTCTGTGAACAAGTGAAAACAGGGCGATTTAAAATGTGAGTGAGGCTCCCTCCTCCCTCCCTCTCATCCCCCACCTCTCTCTCCGACTCCATTTTCTCCGCTGCTGGGGGTCGGGGTCTCCTGTGGGCGGCCCAGCTGGTACCCCACGTCTCCCTTCAGGGTCAAGGTGAACCCCGGGAGGAGCTGGGAGGCGGGGACTGGGGCAGAGGGAGCAGCGGCCCCAGCGAGTTTGGGGTGGGGAGTAGCCAGTGGGAGGAGGGGTGGAGCAGGGAGGGGGGGCCTCAGGGCCCCCCTCAATAAAAACAAACAAATAAATAAATAAAATGTGAGTAAGGAAGAAAAAAAGAAAAGACCGAGAGGGCAGTCAGACTTCCTCCTCCATACCATTTCAGATACTCTGGAATGGCAGTCTCTCTCACGGGAAAAAACACATTCAGGGCTACTACCACTTCAGGAGGACAAAGGACAATCCAAAAGAGAAGAGTCATGGTCACTCTGAGACTGATGGGTATTAAATGTATACAGGCATAAAAAAATGGGCCCACCTTCCATAATCTGGGGTTCATCCTTGGGGGAGCAGGTATTCTTGATGAGCGACCAGCTTTTGAGCCTTCGAGGATGTCTCTGTTCTTTGAGAAAACCTCCCCTAGAGGGACTACTATGTCCTGGCCCAGGAAAAGGAGGCTCAGCATTGACCCCCCACCAACCACGACCATATGGGCCAAACCTGGGGCCTAAGCCTCCCCAAACTGGGCCTCTGCCCCGGGGAGGAGGTGGGAGACTCAGCAGCGGTGGAATCATCAGTCCCCTCGATCCTGGAGGACCTCTGTGAAGAGCTAGAGAGAGAGAGAACCATGGACAGGTGATCAATGGCCAACTTAATCCTACTGAAGAAGCCCTGATTTTTTTTTTTTTTGGAAGTACGTTGTACATACAAAAAAACAGACCAACTTCAAGCGCACAACTCAGTTATCACTGAAGTAAACACATTTGTGTTTCCACCACCCAGGTGAAGGGATAGGACTTCATTAACACTTCAGAAGTCACCCCCCCGTGCCCCCCACTATTCCACCCTCCTCCCCAAAGGTAACCACTGTCCTGACTTCTAGCACCATAGGTTAGTTTTTGCCTGTTTTTGAACTTTGCATAAGTGGAATCATACAGTCTGCATTCTTTTGTGTCTGGCTCCTTTCGCTCAACATCATGTTTGTGAGATTCATCCAGGTTGCCTGTAGCAGCAGTTCGTTCGTTTTCATTGCAGTGTAGTGTCCCATTGCATGCACACACAACAACTTATTTATCCATTCTACTGATGGTGGACATGTGGGTGGATTCCAGTTTGGGGCTATAACGAGAAATGCTGCTATGAACATTTTTATACAAGTCTTTGTTAACATATGTATGCATTTCTGTTGAGTCTATACCTAACAGAGGTATTATTGGGTCCTAGAGTATATATGTATGCTCAAGTTTAATAGATAAAATCAAACTTTTCCCAAAGTGCTTGTACCAATTTATATCCCCACCAGCATTTGTCCCCTAGTATTGACAACATTGGGTATTGTCAATCTTCATTTTTAGCATTCTGCTGAGTGTGAAAAGTTTGTTTTTTATCAAACTTGTGGTAAAACATGTAACGTAAAGCTTGCCATCTTAACTACTTTTTTAAAAAAAGGAATAGTTTATGCCCTGGCCGGTTTGGCTCAGCGGTAGAGCGTCAGCCTGTGGTCCAGAGAGACCCGGGTTTGGTTCCCGCTAAGGGCACGTACCTCGGTTGCAGTTTGTCTCAGGTCCTGGTTGGGTCGTGCGGGTAGCAGCCACTTGATGTGTCCCTTTCACGTGGATGTTTCTCTCTCTCTCTCTCTCTCCCTCCCTCCCTCCCCACTCTATCTGAACAAAAAATGAAAAAATGTCCTCGAGTGAGGATAAAAAAAAAAAAAGGAATAGTTTATTGATTTTTTAGAGAGAGAAGGGAGAGAGAGACATCGATTGAGTGCCTCCCAAATGACCCCACCAGGCCTGCAACTTGGGAATGTACCTTGACAACCTCTGCGTGCACAGGGCAATGCCCAGCCAACTGAGCCACACTGACCAGGGCACCATCTTAACCATTTTTAAGTGTTAAGTATATTCACATTGTTGTGAAACAGATCTCCAAAACCTTTTTTTTTTCCATCTTGCAAAACTGAAACTCTACAGCTACAAAACAACTGTCCTTTCCCCCCTCCACCCAGCCCCCGGCAACCACCATTTTACTTTGCGTCTATGAATTTAACTACTTTAGATACCTCATATAAGTGGAATCATATAGTATTTGTCTTTTCGTGACTAGTTTATGTCATTTAGCGTAATGACCTCAAGATTCATCCATACTATAGCATGTGACAGGATTTTCTTACTTTGGGGGGGGCTGAATAATATTCCACTGTATGAACATACCATATTTTGTTTACTCATCTGTCAGCAGACATTTGGGTTGCTTCCATCTCTTGGCTAATGTGAATAGTGCTGCTATGAATATAGATGTGCAAATATCTCTTCAAAATCCTACTTTCTATTCTTTTGGATATATACCCAGAAGTGGAACTGCTGGGTCATACAGTAGTTCTATTTTTAATTTTTTGAGCAATCTCCATACTGTTTTCCAGAGTGATTATACCATTTTACAATCCCACCAACAGTACAAAAGAATTTCAATTTCAAAGTGGTGTGTTTTTATCTTGCATTTATTTGTAGACTAATAATGTTCTTGTTCACATGTTTTTGGTCATTTAGGTTTTGGTTTTTATGAGGTGGCTATTCTGATCTTTTGCCCATTTTTCTAACAGGTTGTCCAGAAGAGTTCTTTATGTAGTCTAGATATGAGCTCTCTACTGGTTACATTTGCTACAAGTATCTTCTACTTTCTTAATTTCTTAATGGTGTCATTTGATTAATAGGAGTTTATATTTTCTAACATAGTTCAGTTTACAGATCTTTCTTTTACAGTTAGCATGTGTTTCCTGTGTAAGAACTCTTTCTACTCCAAGACCACGAAATATATTTTGTAGAATTATTTTAGTTTTTACACTTAGATATAGAGTCCACTTGGAATTGATGCTTGCATATGGTATGAATAGGAGGTCAAATTTCATTCCCCCGCATGAATATCTAGCATCATTTACTGCAAAGACCACTATTTCAGTCCCATCTTAACCATAAATGAAGTGTCCAAATATGTGTGGGCTTGTTATCGGACCCTTTATGCAGTTCTGACACGTCTACCCTTCTGCCAACACCACATCATTATAACTTAGCTTTACAATAACCCTCCCACTTCAAGACTGTCTTTGCACTCTTACCCTGATCCTCTGTGTTTCCATAGAATAATGCAGAATGTTTATTTCCACAAAAAAAGAGCAATTAAAACTGGGAATGCATTGAATCTACAACACAGAGTTTTCAATCTGTGAATACACAGCATCTCTCCATTTAGGTACTGATTTCCTGATCTTCTGATTTTAAGTCATTCCTGGGTTTTAGTCCCTCCCTTGTTCCCTTCTCCAGGACCTAATCAAAGGACTAGGGCCCCTTCCTCCTCACCTGACATGGGGTCACCAGGTTTTCCATTGGCCATTGGGGGAGGGCCCAGAAGACTGGGTGGTCCTAAGAGTAGACACAAATATATGGTCATTAAAATGAACTAAGGGACTGATGATCCTTTCCTTATATTTTGGTTGTACTACTCATTTCTCAATCCAACCACTAAAACCAGGTATATTCTTAGCAGTGTTAGGAATTTTCAGCCCATTCATCTGCAAAAGTTTTCAGGATTCGCAAAATGTAGAGACTCGGTCAAAGGGGATAATGCGCGAAGAACACCTACAATTTTCTCTTCCCCTGGCCCTGTTGCTATCCAAAACATCCATTGAGAATCCAACCCCTCTCTGTAACTGCTGGCAGCTCAGATAGCCGCCCCTACCCCCAGGGGTTGAGAAGGATACACTTCCACATTTCCTGTGAACGTGCGGCCACAAGTTCTCATCCCAGTCACTGCGACCTGCCATCTCTCTGGGGCCCCTCGCCCCTGACAGTCTGTGGCTGCGCACACGAGCTCCTTGGCCTCTCCTCCCCAGCCTTCTCTAGAAAGGCTTCGGGGCCGGGCTGAGGCTGAGGGTTTAAGTGAGAGAACTCCTTCAGAGCTCCATCCGGGAAAGGCCGTCCACGCCCCCACCCGTCCGAGCGCGTGCGCCCTTCCTCCTTCCGTCGGAGCCCCTTCCCCGCGCCCTTCGGCCCCCAAGCGCTCGCCCCCACCGGCTGGCGGCAGGTGCACACGCCTCCCGGCTCCTCACCGAGAGGACTCCCGTCGTCTCCGTCTCCCGTCTCTTCCCGCGTTGGCACTGGGGACTGCGGCGGCGGCGGCGGCTGTTGCTGGTTCTGCTTCTTCCGTTTGGGCATCGTGGTTGCGGCTATGGCTGCAGCGGGATTTGGAGGGCAGTGAGGAAGGGGCACGCTTGATTCTGTTTCCGCTTCCGGGGGGCGGTGGCCCGGGAGGCTGAGGCCCCCCATTTAACTTTCAGGAGGCTGTGGGGGCTTTGTGCGGCTTTTCCTTACGTCAGCTACTTCCTCCGTCTCTGCCAGGCACAGCGGCAATCTGCAGCCTGCCTTCGCGGCGTTTCCATGAGTGCTCCCCAACCGCGCGCTTCTCCCCTCGGCGGAGAAGGCTCCAGACCCGCCGCTCAGGGTGCAATAGAGTCGTCAGGCTCGGGCTAGAAGGTCTGGGAAGAGGGCTGTCGCGCCCTAGGATCGCCACATCCGGTCCCGGTTACTATGGTAACAGCCGCAGGCACCACTTCGTGACCTCTGACCTCCCTCCCAAATCCCTGGTCATAGCTGGGTTTCCATCCTCGCCCGCGCTGGCTCTTTGGGTGGTAAACCTGCTCCTTCTCATCCTTCCTCCCGGGAATTGGGGTCCCGGCGGGGCGGCGCCCAGGACGCTTCAGACGCCTGGCCCCACCCACAGCGTAACGCAGCTACCGGGCCCCGCCCGCGCCGCCTCGGCCCACTCGGCGCAGCCGGGCGGGGGCAGCCGCGCGCGCACGCCCCTCTCTCCGGGGGGTGGGCCCGCCTCGCGCTCCGCCGCCCTCCAGGTGAGGGCTCGCTCCTCCCAGCCGCGCAGGGTAGTGATGACACGCGTCCCCCTCTTCCGAGCGCGAGGTGGTAGCGTCCGTGACGAAGCGAGCCCGGTCCTCCCACGCGCGTCTCCCTCGCCGCCCTGCGCCCTCTCGGTGCCACTGGCTCTCACGTGCAGGGAGCCCGCCCCACAGCGTCTCGCCTCGCTCCCGGGGGGCAGTGACTATTCCTCCCACTCGTCCGCCTCCCAGCCCGGCTACTGGGGCGAGTCGGCCGGCCCGCCCGCTGACGTCACCGGCCAGCCCCGCCCCTGGAGGGTCCGGGCCCCGGCGGCCCGGCGGCCCCGGGAGGGGGAGTCAGTTGAAGCGAACGGAGCTCGGCGGAGGGCGGGCCAGGTGACTGGTCCGGGCCATGCCGAGGAAGAAGCCCTTCAGCGTGAAGCAGAAGAAGAAGCAGTTGCAGGACAAGCGGGAGCGGAAGCGAGGTAAGTGCGGGAGCGAGAGGAGGGGGCGGGGCTCGAGCTCCGGCACATCTGGAAGGAGGGGTGTGCCCGCCGCACCTCTGGGGGGCATGGGAGGGGAGGTGGCCGCGCGCCCGTGCGCGAGGGCGACCGTGGAGGGGCTCTCTCACCCCTGCACCCCTCATGAAAGGGGTGGGAAGAATGGAGAGTTGGGGGAAGGGAATCCCTCCTGCTCCGACGGGCGCCATCCCCGCAGATCCCTGGAGGAGGACTGGCTGCCCCTGTGCTCATCCAAGAGGGTCCTGAGCGGGGTGGCTGGCAAGATCGGGCCTCAGAAGAAGTGGGGTGGCGTGAGGGGGAGCCAGGGCCGACCCGGGAGGGGATCGTTCGGCCCCCGAGAGCAGGCCAGCCCTGGCGTCACCGGCTCCTCCCCGCAGGGCTTCAAGATGGGCTGCGATCCAGTTCCAACAGCCGCAGCGGGAGCCGGGAGCGGCGGGAGGAGCAGACCGACACCTCGGACGGGGAGTCTGTGACCCATCACATCCGCAGGCTCAACCAGCAGCCTTCCCAGGGGCTGGGCCCGCGAGGCTTTGACCCAAATCGGTGAGAGTGGGCCTTCCCCGCCTACCAGGAAGTCAGCGCGTTGCGGGAAAGCCGCTTGCTCTGGCGGGTGGTCGGGCTAGGATGCCACGGTTCTCCGCAGGCCGCTGGGCTCATGGGAGCCGAGCACAATCTTCTCTGCCCGAGGGGTGGAGAGTTTGGCTTTAGAAGGGCCAGTATTGCGTGAAAGAGGGACATGGGGGGAGGGCCGACTCAGCGAAAGCTTAGCGAAGTTGTCTGCGTAAGAGGGAAGTTTGTGGCCATATGATTGCGGTGGATGCCATGGTCCCTGTCCGATAGATACCGGCTGCATTTTGAACGGGACAGCCGGGAGGAGGTGGAGAAGAGAAAGAGAGCAGCCCGGGAGCAAGTGCTACAGCCGGTCAGTACTGAAATGCTGGAGCTGGACATCCAGGAGGTCTACCAGCCTGGTTCAGGTGAGCGAGAGCTCAGCACTCGGCAGTTTCGCACAGGTACTGCCTGAGGGAAGGAGTGTGGAAGAGCGAGAGCTGACTGAGGAAGGAGGGCTCTGGGGTGCACCCTGGAGTCAGACTTACTTGGATTTTTCTTGATTTTGCAGTGCTGGACTTTCCACGGCGTCCCCCTTGGAGCTATGAGATGTCTAAGGAGCAACTAATGAGCCAGGAGGAACGGAGCTTTCAGGAGTATCTTGGGAAGATTCATGGGGCTTTCACCTCAGAGAAGCTTAGCTACTTTGAGCACAATCTGGAGGTGAGAATGGAATGGGGACAGGAGTGGGGCATAGTGACCCAAGGTCCAGTTGGTCTGTGGTCAGGCAGGAAAGGGACTCTAAGCTCAGATTCTCTTCCATTGACTTTGTCTTTTCAGACATGGAGGCAACTGTGGCGAGTGTTAGAGATGTCTGACATTGTCCTGCTTATCACTGATGTCCGACATCCAGTGAGTACTGGGATAAGGCTGGGCAAGCAGGAGGAGGGAGGAAGAGTTTTTGGGGGGTCAAGAGCAGAGGCAGGAGCTGGGAGACAGAGGTATTCTCCTTCCTTTTCAATGTCCTCTACCCTGTGCTGATGTCTGCAGTCAGGGATGCAGTTCTTTATTCATTAGGGTCATAGCTTGTCAGTCCTCCCCTGGCCTTCTCTCCGTTATTTCTTTGATGAAAATCTGCATATCCTGTTTCTCAGCTCAGCATAGCTAAACCAGTAGAAAGTCCCAGAGTGGAGCTCTGCCCTCTGCTCTGCCCCATCAGTGAGCACAGGACTCACCTGGAACGCCGGGTGGCAGCTAAGGCTCTAGACCAGCGGTTCTCAACCTGTGGGTCGCGACCCCTTTGGAGGTCAAACTACCCTTTCACAGGGGTCACCTAAGACATAACGGTAGCAAAATTACAGTTATGAAATAGCAATGAAAATAATTTTATGGTTGGGGGTCACCACAACATGAGGATCTGTATGAAAGGGTCGCGGCATCAGGAAGGTTGAGAACCACTGCTCTAGACTCTGCTTCTGGATGACCTTGTGTGAGCTTCCTCTGCCTCTTTACTGTTGTCCTCCAGGGGGAGATGGGGGTCTGTGGGGTACGTTTAGGGTGGAGGTCCTCAGCAACCTGTGCACACCCTCCTACACAAGTGCACAGGTATAACTTACCTCTGTTTTGTCTTTATAATTCAGTTTGGCTTATTTATCCTATTTGCCCCAGAATTTGCTACCACCAGTATCTTGCCTCCAAGCTGTGCCTGCTGAGTGGGGAGCTAGAGGCAGAGAACTCTGAGTTGACCTCTTATTGCTCATCCCTTTACCGCCCTGTCCCAGGTTGTGAATTTCCCACCAGCACTTTATGAGTACGTGACTGGAGAACTTGGGCTGGCCCTGGTGCTGGTCCTGAACAAGGTGGATCTGGCCCCGCCGGCTCTCGTGGTTGCCTGGAAGCATTATTTCCACCAACACTTTCCCCAGCTCCATATTGTCCTTTTTACCTCTTTTCCTCGGGACCCCCGCATCCCACAAGACCGGAGTGGTGGTGAGTGGGCAATGAGGAGGACAGCAGGGGAAGGTGGGGTGTCAGGGGACAAAGGGGAGAACAGAAAGGCTTGCTGATAAGGGGGTAGCTGACTTTGGACCTGAGGGTGGTGGCAGAGATGGGATGTGCTAACCGTTTTGTACCCTTGGATCTCAGTCTTGAAGAAGAGTCGGAGGCGGGGGAGAGGATGGGGTCGGGCCCTGGGGCCAGAGCAGCTGCTGAGAGCCTGTGAAGCCATCACTTCGGGGAAAGGTTTGTGCCCCTTAGCGGGAGATGTGGCAGACCATGGGGGAGGCCCAAGGTCCAGAGTGGTTTTGCTCACCTTCCTTGAAGTCAACCCCTCTGTTATGGACACAGGCAAGAGGCCCAGGGGAGGGATGGAAGACTGACTTGTTGGGACTGGAGAGGCAACAGGTAGGCAGAGGCCCTAGAGTAGCTGCCTTCAGGGTTCCCAGAACTTTTTGGGAAACTCAGACAGAGAAATGCGCGTGATTCTAGGGTGGGGTCAGTGAAGGCTAGGGAGAGTCACCAGCTGTGCAGCTTGTCACTGTCCACCTCCAGAGGGCATCAGCCGCACTAGCTGGGCCATCCTGGTCATGCCATAACGTGTGGTGGCCCTGGGAGAGCCCTGTTCGTCTTCTCCTTTCCCGAGCAGTGGATTTGAGCAGCTGGCAGGAGAAGATTGCCCGGGATGTGGCTGGGGCCACCTGGGGCAATGGCTCTGGTGAGGAGGAGGAAGAGGATGACGGGCCAGCAGTCCTGGTGGAGCAGCAGACTGACTCGACCATGGAGCCAGCCGGCCCAACCCAAGAGCGCTACAAGGACGGGGTGGTGACCATCGGCTGTGTGGGTAAGGAAGTGGTGGCGCGTGCAGGGCAGCCTCGACATTTGAAAGGAGAGAAACTGACCAGGTCTCACTGGGCTCCAGTCCCTGCAGTCTCTCCACTGTAGTAGGATCATGGCCTGAGTTCAAGTCCACATCTTCTCAGTTGTTATTGATCTTGAGCAAGTATTGACTCACCCTGAGTCTTAGGTACTTGAATTTTGAAATGAGGACAGTGATACCCACGTAAAAGAACAGACGTGAGGAATGATGGGAAGAGTATAGAGAGAACCTATCAAAGCCTGACTAATGGTGACAATAAGAGTAATAGTTGTTAAAATTTGACAATAGGTGCCAGGCACTGTTCTAAATGACTTACATGTGTTTTCTGTTCCGTTTGTAGTGATTAGTCCATAGTGGGAGCTTAGCAAATGTTAGTTTCTTTGTGCATCTTAACCCTTTAAGTCTGTTGTTGGCAAGACTCTCCCCTTAGTCCAGAGATTTGTCTGTTTGTGGTGGGGGAGAAAAGAGAGTCTTGAGTAGGCCCAAGGCCCCTTTTCACTTCTGGTGGGAGAGGTGAGAAGTGACTTTGGCAAAGTTGTGGTACTGAGGTGTTATTGGAACCAGAAAGGGCCCAGCCTAGAAGAAATCAGGGACAGCAGAGAAGTTGAGTGGTTAGCACCTTGGAAATGCTACTGATTTATCTTTCAGTCTCCTTTTTGTCTAGGGAAAAACTTTCCTGATTGCTGACAGATTGCTCTCTTTTCCATTCATGTCCCTTTCCTGCCTTTGAGCCCAGCCCTCCCTCCTAGGAGGCCCTGTGCCCTCCCCTGGGCCTGTGCACTGACTTGTTCGTGTTCCGGGGGTGACGGTGAGCATCTGCTGTGGCGCAGGCAGCCCTGAGCGTGGATTTCCGTCCAGCTCCATTCATTCATTCCTCCTGAGCACGGGGTGCCAGGGCCTGGTGCAGGGGGTGCTGCCGTGAAAATGGCAGAAAAGCCCCTACCTTCATGGAACTGGTTTTCTTGTGAATAAATTGAGCTATCATTTGAAATGATATTATTTGCGGACAATGAAAGAGGATAGAGCAGCTTAAAGAGGAGGGGTCCTCTGGGAAAGACTCCCGGGAAGACTCCAGGATGATGAAGAGAAGTGGCTGTTGGAGGCGAGCGGAAAGGGCCTCTAGGCCCAGGGGGTCAGTAAGAGAGCCGGTCTAGAGGTGGGACTGAGCTTGTCGACTGTGGGACCAGCCAGGGGGACCGGAGTATTGGAGTCAGAGAAGAGAATTGGGGATGAGGCTAGAAAGGTCGCCAGGGGTCACATTATGTAAGGTCCCGTGGCTGAGAGAAGGCATTTTGGGTTTATTCTAAGTCTGATGGGAAACCAGAGGTGGGCTTTGAGCAGGGGCTTGGACAATAGATGTTGGGGGCAGGCGAGAGTGGAGCAGAGAGCACATGAGGGTGGCTGCGCGCTCCAGGTCTGCCTTGAGCTGCTGTGATGCCAGACAGGAAGGCGGAGCCGAGGCAGGAAGGCGGAGCCGAGGCAGGAAGGTGGAGCGGAGCCCGCCAGAGGGGTGGGGCGGGGATTCAGAATTTAGTTTTGAGATAAAAAAATTGACATCCTTAGTGGAGACACTGAGTAGGTAGGTAGTGGATATATGAGCCTGGAATTTAGGGCAGAGAACTAGAGATTTGAATTTGGGGAGCCACTGGTGGGTGTAAATGGTCCTTAAAGTCATGGATTGAATGAGATGTGGGAGAGGAGGTAGGTGGAAAGAGGAGGCCAAACCTGCATTTACAGCGTGGGCGAGGAGGAGGAGACGGTGTGCTGGATGGCACGGGAGAACAGTGTTTGGAGAGGAGCGGAGGGCTCAGCTGTGTCAGATGTCCTGACCGGTCGAGTGAGGCGAGCAGAGTCTTGATCAGTGGGCTCGGGGCGCGAGCAGCAGTGGCTTCTGTGGAGGGAGGACAGGAACCAGATGGGGTGGGCCAGTGGGCGTGGGCAGTGTGGCGGAGCCTCGCATAGTGTTGAGACGGGAGCTAGACAGCGTTTTCATGTTCACAAGTCCATTTGTGTAAACTTCAAAAGCTGCAAAATTAGACTGCGTGGTTCAGGAATACATAGGTCATAAAACTAAAAGGAAACGTAAGCAATGGAACCCCTTACAACTCAAGGTAAGGTTCACACAGGGCAAGAGGGTTATGATCCAGAAGGGACAATGCACCCTGGCCGGTTTTGCTCAGAGGTTAGAGCATCAGCCTGACCACTGAAGGGTTGCTGGTTCCACTCCTGGTCAAGGGCATGCACCTGACTGCGGGTTCCATCCCCAGCCCCGGTCAGGGTTGTGTGAGAGGCAACCAATTGATCTGTCTCTCTCATGCGGATGTTTCTCTTTTTCTCCCTCCCCACCATCCACATTATTTTTAAAAAATCAGTGGAAAAATATCCTTGGGTGAGGATTAACAAAAAAAGAAAGGGAAATGGGGCCTCTGAGGGTGTGCATCACACTGGGCCCAGGAGTGGGTGATACGGGACTTATTTACATTCTACCCATTTTTGTGTATGTTACAGTTTTTTTTTCCTCAAACCATAAAAGAAAATTTAGAAAGTCACAGAGTTAGAAGTGAGCTGTAGAAGAAATGGGCCCAGGAAACAAATTATAGAAACAAAAGAAGAGCCCTGGCCGGTTTGACTCAGCGGTTGGAGCATCGACCTGCGGACCAGAGTCCTGGGTTCAGTTCCCGCTAGGGGCATGTACAAAAAAAAAAAAAAAAGAAGCAAAAGAAGGGCCGAGAGTTTGAGAGAGGGAGAGAGACATACGTGTACATGTGCACCTTGAGAGGAGACAGGGAGGAGAGTGTGCTGTTTATAGTCATAAAGAAGATGGCACCGAGTGGTGACCAAAAATAAACAAGTGGTTTTTTTAAAATACATTTTTATCAATTTTTTGGGAGAGAGAGAAACATTAATGTGAGAGAGACACACCAATCAGCTGCCTCCTGCATGCCCCTACTGGGGATCAAGCCCTCAATCCCGGCATGTGCCCTGACCAGGAATCGAACCAGGACCTCTCAGTCCATGGGACGATGCTCAATCCACTGGGCCAGACAAGTGTTTGAAGGAGTTTCACTGTAAAGGGGACAGGAAATGGGGCTGGTGGGTGTTGTAAGTGGAAGGTCACTTGTCCCTGCCTCCCCACTGTGCTTGTCTGTGGCTTGAAGTCAGCGTGGCGCCGTGTCTTCCGAGCTGCGGTCGGCTGTGGGAGATGTGCTGGGTGGACAGAGCTGCATTTTACATGGTGGGATATTGCCAGGTGAGTCAGGTGGAGAGAGGCGGGTCCAGGGAGTTCAGGGTCTGTGCTGGGGACTTGAAGGCTGTAGAATGGGACCATGGAGTCAAAGTTGGGAAAGAGGGAAGTGAGGACATGAGCTGGGTGTTGACTAGTGTTCCTGTGCTCAAGTCAGGATGAGAATGAATGGCCTGGGAAGGTGGCTGTCAGGCCAGAGAGGGATGCTTACAGCTGAGACTTTGGAGTGTGAAGTGACTGGCCCAGGCCATGATCACAGAGTCAGGAGCCCCGGAGTCAGGTCGGGTGGAGGAAATAACCTTCGGAAAGGACATCCTGGCACCGTGAGGCCAGGGTGCTGACCTGTGAAGACCCTGAAGTCGGAGGGAAGGCATGGCCATGATGAGGGGCAGTGAGTCAGGGCTGCAGGCCCCTCCTTGGAGAATTTGGGTTAGCCATGAGGTCGTGTCTCACTAGGAGGGGGCGCTGAGCCCCTGCAGGCACCGACCCCACGCAGCGGTGTCTGTCTCAGCCAGCCTTGGCCGCTCTGGGGCTGGAGGTATCTGTGCTGTGAAATGAGGGAACAGGCTCAGACCGTTTTCAGTTCTCTGGAGGTCACAAGCTGGTAAGAGGGAGGGCAGGATTCAGCCCCAGCAGTGCAGAGCCTGGTTTATAATTGCAGTGTGAAGCCACTTCCTTGATTTCTGAGCCTGAGCTCCTCTTTTATCTCTAGCTACGGCAGGCACCACGTCCTTCCCATCACAGAGTGAGATCTGCCAGGTGTTAACTTTCCTTGCTTTTCTCAGGTTTCCCCAATGTGGGCAAGTCCTCACTGATCAATGGGCTGGTGGGGCGGAAGGTCGTGAGTGTCTCCAGAACCCCGGGCCACACCCGCTACTTCCAGACCTACTTTCTGACCCCCTCTGTGAAGCTCTGTGACTGCCCGGGCCTCATATTCCCCTCCCTTCTGCCCAAGCAGTTGCAGGTATGAGGGCGGAGGGCGGAGGGCGGAGGGCGGAGGCAGGAGGGCGGAGGCAGGAGATCAAGGAAGGTGCTGAGGGCTCCTTTCCCCTCAGGTGCTGGCAGGGATCTACCCCATTGCTCAGATCCAGGAGCCCTACACCGCTGTGGGCTACCTGGCCTCCCGAATACCTGTGCAGGTCCTGCTCCACCTGCGCCACCCAGAGGCTGAGCACCCCTCAGCAGAACACCCCTGGTGTGCCTGGGACATCTGTGAAGGTGGGCTCTTGTGCCTGGCTCCTCCCCTTGCCCTTTACCTTGCCCTGGCCCCTCCTCTCCTCAGAGGTTCTGCCATCCACCCTAGATTTCTGTCTTAGGGGCAGTAAAATCTCTGGCTTGGAATGTTCTGGGGAAAACTGGAAAGACTGTTTTAGGGCAGTGGGGTTCACAGCTTCCCTAAACATGGTTCTTTCTGCCTTCAGCCTGGGCAGAGAAACGTGGCTACAAGACGGCCAGGGCTGCGCGGAATGACGTGTACAGAGCGGCCAACAGCCTCCTGCGGCTGGCGCTGGACGGCCGCCTCAGCCTGTGCTTCCACCCGCCCGGCTACGCCCAGCAGAAAGGTCGGCCCGCCAGTGTGCCTTCCCCCCCTGCAGTGTGGGCCCAGGGGGTGGGCTTGTGGCCACAGAGCCGAGGGCAAACCTGGATTCTGCACTCGTCGGCCAGCTCTATTTTCCTAAATGTCTCGGAGGCCGTTCTCATCTGCAGAACCAGGGTGCTAGTCGCCCCTGCAAGGTGGTGACTGAAGTCGGAGTGAACGTGTGCAGAGCGTCAGTGCCCAGCACACGGGAAGGGATGAAGGATGCATGACGCTTCAAACTGTTGCTCTTCTTAGTCTTTGCTTCTTCCCCACCTTTCTCCAGCTTTAGTCCTTTATTCAAAACTCTTCTCTGATCTTTTTCTTGTTTTGGTTCTACAGGCACCTGGGAGTCTCATCCAGAGACCATGGAGCTGGTGGCTTTGCAGGGCAGGGTGGGGCCAGCAGGTGATGAGGAGGAGGAGGAGGAAGAAGAAGAGCTGAGCAGCTCCTGTGAGGAGGAGGGAGAGGAGGACCGGGACGCAGATGAGGAGGGGGAAGGGGATGAGGACACCCCCACCTCAGCTCCCAGGTCCAGCCTGGCCTCGAGAAACCCTTACACCATGCTGGGTGAGGATGAGTGCTAGGCCATACTCTGTGCTGTCTGCTTTTGGACTGACTGGGGTATGTCCCCTCTGCCATCCCAATTGTGAATAAAGATTGTCTGCTTTGTAGCCCTTTCCCCAGACGCCGGAGGTGAGGGCAGCATTTGAGACTGACAGCTGTGGGAGGCTTCTCTTCTGTGTCTGTGCACCCCTCCGCCCAAGGGAGTTCTCAGGCACTCAGTCAGTGGGTTCTGAGGCCCCGAAACCTGCTTCCTCTGCCTGCTGCCACATGCCTTAGGGGTGCCATCATCACCATCACCATGGGGAGCACAGAGCAGTTCAGGCTTTTGAGGCCTGGTCTAAATCCACCCCTGTAGGAGTTTGTGCCATTCCCTCTCAGGTTTGAGCTGCAGGCTGTGTGCCCCCTGCTGCCAGACCTGGGTTTTACCAGGAACTTCTGGGAGGAGAAGCAGGAAGAGGTGTCATAACCTGATGTCTCCAAGTGAGAGTTTTGCAGGATTTATTCTGATTGAGCAAGTATTTGTGAGAGCTGACTGTGTCTAGACTGCGCTGTAAGCACCGAGCATGTTATGGTGCAGGCGGTGGCCTGGCTCACACCTGTGGCCTGGCCGTGGCCAAGACCCTACCGGGCACCCACGACTCTGGCTTGAGAAGGGTCTTTAATGTAATACAAATCCCTGGGGCTCATACAATATAATTTTAGAGCTTCCTGTTGATGAAACTAGTTAAGACTAAATGCTTGTGAAAATGTCAATTGAACATGTCCAGGTAGAGAGCCTTGATCCCTGGCAAACAAGTAGCATGTTTACGACTCAAGCCGACCAGCCTTTTAAGTACAGTGTTAAGTTTCATTAGTTAAAAACCCGTATGTACTAAGGATGTAGGAGGTTCAAAGGGCAAGGCACAGAACCTGCCTTCTGAACCCCATTTTCCCTGGTTGGAGCTGGAGCCACGGTGACAGTGTGTGGCCCGAGCGGCCTTAGGCGCCGTGCCTGTCGGCAGTGGTCAGCTCTCTCGCGGTTCAGGGCACGAGGCTTTGCTGGGTGTCTCCCTTGTCGAGCACACAGCTGGACTCCCAGACTTAATTGTTGGGGAAAAAGGACAATGGGTTGTTTTATTGGCTGCCACTGTGTTGTCTAGGTTGGGTGGTAGCAAAAGTGTTGTTGGACAGGTTAACCATTGGGTGAGGATAAGGGACAGTACCAGATTCCTTCTCTTGCCCACGCATCCCATTCAGGTCCAGTAATGCCCACAAAGACCCTATCAACCCAGGAGCAAAAGAGGCTGAGGCATTGGGGCCACACCTTCCCTCAAGCTCCACCCTCCGTTGGTCCCAGTGAGGGCATACATCCTGGAATTTCACTCCTGTGCTAAGTTTAAGTACCATCAATGTGTACATGTGCTTGAAGTTTGCCCAAAATATGCTGCAAGAGGGAAGAGTCTAGGTTGAGAGGAAACCTGCCTGCCTTCCATTTGGGGCTCTTTAGCCTCAGGGCGGGGTCTTCTCATGGAAGGGGCCCAGCTCAGTTTCCTCTAAGGGTTTCTGATGTTTGGGGAAGTTTGCAGACTCCTCTGCTGCTGGAAGGCATCTCATAATGTGGGAAAGGGAGAAAAGGGGAGTTTCTCTTGGTTTTGTCTTTTGCTATCTCATGAGTGTCAATAGGAACACATTGGGGAGACTCTGGGGTGGGGATGAAGATTTGAGACCTGGAGCTGGAGAGAAAGCTGAGGAGGGGGCATTTTTATGCTAAAAACTTAGAAGCAGGAAACTCTAACATCCCTAAGGGGCTAAATGAAATGATTCATCCCGGACCCCTGCCAATGACACACTGACTGTAGGAAAGGAAAAGAACTCTTTTAGCAACAAATAGTTTTGGCAGGAGATGGATAAATAGTCCCCCAACACCAGGGTCTGGGGCTGAGGTTGAAACTTGCCAAAAGGGACAGAGGGAATCAGGGGCCTAGCTCTTCATGCTGAAATACCCAGGACCCCTCACACCCTTGCGTGGGTCATGTCCATATGTGGTGCTTGGCCAGGGAGATCTGAGGCTCCAGTAGTTCCCACAGCACTGGCCACTTGGTGGAGAGAGACCAGTCCTCTCATTTATGCTGCAAGTTGGTTTGAACATCGACTGAGTTCCTTCCAAGCTTCTTGGACAGCTCTAGTTTACATCTGAGACAACCGTGTGTAGTCCAGGGTAGCTCGATTACCTGGGTCTCTGTTTCTTCATTATTATTATTTCTTCTTCTTCTTCTTCTTCTTCTTCTTCTTCTTCTTCTTCTTCTTCTTCTTCTTCTTCTTCTTCTCCTCCTCCTCCTCCTCCTCCTCCTCCTCCTCCTCCTCCTCCCCCCCCCCCCACTATTAAGGGCTTTTTATTCAAATTCACCATATCACAGATTGGCTTTTTTTTTTTTTTTTAATCCTCACCCGAGGACATTTTTGCATTCATCTTCAGATAGAGCAGGAGGGAGAGGGAGGAAGAGAGAGAGAAACATCAATGTGAAAGAGACACATCAACTGGTTGCCACCTACACTACCCCAACCAGGGCCGGGGACAAACTGCAACCAAGGTACATGCCCTTAGTGGGAACCAAACCCCGGTGTCTGGACCATGGGCCGATGCTCTAACCACTGACCCAAACCGGCCAGGGCGAGATCGGCTCTTTCTGAGGTTTTTATCCCGAGGTTGGATTAAGGCACTCCCTCTGGGCCCTTAGTACTCTTCTCTAAATTGGGAGCCCCAGGGCATCTGCTGCCCCTCTGGGTCCCTGGTCCAGTCCTGTGGGCACACAGTCCTTAAGTGCTTGGGAGAAATGAGCTGTTTAGGCATGGCTCTGCGGAGTGGCAAGTGGGCACCTGCCCCGTTGGTTCTTGCTGGCCGGTGGCTTCCAGCACTCCCACCCGCATAAATGTTTTGCACTTTGCCACTGCAGGTCCCTAGCACAGCCCACAGGCTCCTTAAAAACCATCACGGCGGATGGCAAGGTACACATTGAAAGCCTCTCTGTTGCAGTTTCTATCAGGAGTGAAGACGTTTGTGGAAAGTCCCATCTACACAGATGGCAATGACAGAGTTGACATTCTTGGAAGTATTTCGACCAAAGGCGCAGATGCAAGCTGACTCCGCAGGCACAGGGAAGCTCGCCAGGCTCTGCCGAGAGTCCGGGACTGTCCAATCACAGGCCCGGCCTTGCCCACGCAGCCAGCGCAGAGCGTGGCTGAGGCGGTATCCTTGAGAGCCGAGATAGGCCGGCCGCACCGGCCCTGCGTGGGGCCCGCATCGCTGGAAGCGCACGGGAAGGAGGTCATGGCCGAAGCCGATGCAGTTGCGGGTGGCAGGGTCAGTGCCTCCTCGCTGTTCACCAGTTTCTCCTTTGTGTATCAAAAAGGCGAGTAAGGGTGCCCTTCTGGGAGGCCAAGGCCACTACAGTGCCTGGCTGGTGTAGGGACACACGGACACCGCGCTCTGATGTGCACGGTGGTGAACGGAGCATGGAGCGCCGGCTTTGTGCTCGCTGGGTCCCCAGGCTGCAGACTCCCGCAGGCGTGTCCTGGGAACACTAGCCGCTGTTTCTCCAGCTGGGGCAGAGGTCACAGAGCCCCTTTGGGTTGTCCCGGGTGCCGAACTCAAACAGCGTTCGCGGATTGTCGGTGGAGTACACATCGATGCGGCCCTTCGGCACAGTCGCGATTTCACCATGGCGCTTGCGCACAGCCAGCACTGGCTTGGTGAAGGTGAACTCCAGCGCCAGCTTGTCTGGGAGTCTGCCTTCCCGAGCATCGAGCAGCGTCCCAGATTAGCACTGCTGGGCAGGTGGGTGTATGGTCGGGGCCAAGGTTTAAGGTGAGGGGCAGCCCTGCTGACACGAGACCCGCCCTTGAGATCTCTGAGAACTTGGGGCTACTACCACCGCCCACCAGGGCCAGCGGGTTGGAGGGTACAGCATTTCCACCAGGCCCATGCTGCGCACCTGCCCAGGTCCAGAGGCCCCTCCTCCATCAACGGCTCCACGTTGTGGATGCACACGCCTGTCTCCGTGGCACAGCAACAGCAGTTCTGGTCTTGGTTGAAACGCAGGCGACCGCGAAGTGGCTGCTGAGTCATGATCCAGGATTGTTGCCCTAACTTCCGCCTCCGATCCAGGCCAGCTCGGTGCCACCCGCGGCATGGCTTTCTGACCTCCAGCTCTTGCTTCACTTCTTATGTCACTGATATAACCAACAAAAATTGGTTGAAAACAGTATGTGCCAGACATGCCGAGCTCTGGGACAAAACTGAATAAGGCATAGACTTCAAGAAGTGGAACAGCCAGACACTAATAATGATAATATAATAATGCAATAATTCTATAGTACTATGAAAGTTAGAAAAATATTTTACATGTATCCACTGAACTGTCGTGCTAAGTGAGGTAGATAGAACATAATCCTGCGGATTCATTTAGCCACTGAACATTTTTCGAGCAATTTCTATCTGCCATTCTCTGCTAAGTGTAAGTGGTGCAGAAGTGGTCATTTGTGGAGCTCACAATTGGATAGCCAGTTACCACAGGGGATAAGTGCCCTGAGGAGGATGGTGCAGGGTTCTGTGGGGCAGCGCAGGCTCCATGAAGGAGGGGCCTTGGGATGCTGATCAACAGGGAACAGAGGAGGCTGGAAGCTGTGTTTGTTTAGCAAGTTATGTGTGGCTAAAAAACATCAGTAGTCTGTGGTTAGGACTTGCTATGGGAACACCCAATGGGCATCTAAGCCAGTCTTGGTGAGTCAGGAAAACTAGAGGAAAAGAGGTCCAAGCTGAGGCCTGAAGGGGGAGGCAGAATTAGCCGAGCATCGAGAATAGTGTTCCAGAGGGAACAGCAGACTAACTTGTTGGGCATGGCTGGGCAAACGATCCAAGGGAGATGTTGGGAAAGGTGGAGCTAGAGGGTCAGGCTTGGGCCAGCTCTTGCTGGGCCTTGTCAGCCCTGCTAAAGATGTAGACTTCATCCAGAGGAATACTGGAGAAGCTTAAGCCTAAGCCTAAGAAGAGACTTATGCCTTAGATCACTCTGGTTGCAGTGTAGAGATGGGTTTGGAAAGGGAACAGACCAGAAGTTTTTGCAGCAAT